AATATCTTAATATATTATTAAAACAGGCCTGTCAGGAGCAATGTGAGAGAAGCCAGTTTCTCTTAGGCATGTAGACTTACTCAAGGCATGTAGACTTACTCAAGGCATGTAGACTTACTCAAAAACTTTTCTGTACTCATGATTACTTTTATGGAGAAAATTTAGGAATCCAATTGAAAGACTTTCATAGAGCAGAATTAACCTGTTGAGGTGCTTCATTTATTGTCAAAACAAAAGAATGTCAAGAATTAAATAATTATATGTATGATATTAGCTGATAAGACTGGATATGTTTTCTAAAGGAATATTAAGCCCTCATGCTTTAGTGCATAAGACAACTGCTAACTGATGGAAGTTAAATGTAGCCCTATCCCTGGTGTGACATTTATTGCATAAATGTCAACCATAAAGTTTTTTGCACCTTCTTTGGAAACATTTAGGACTTGCCTGTTCTCAGGTTTATACAGCTGAAACAGTTGTCTCTATTGCACTTAGAGAAATAGTTCCTTTATAAGCTACTAGGTCTAATATTTCAAAATTAAATGAAAGAGACATTACTTTTTGTAATTTGATATAATGCTAATATTTGCACAAAGAAAAAATGACTGAACTAGAATTTTCTTAAATTCGACTTTCAGATTTTCTCAGTTCCACATTAATACCTCTAAAATCTCTGCCAACAACAGAAAGTTCCCTGCTCTCTTGCTTACAAGTAACTTTATATGTCCTGTAACAAATAATTAAGGAAAAAGGTTATTTATTAAATCTGAGGCCAAACAAACATACAATAAAACATTCAGAACAATTGAAGTATATGCTTAAAATTACATAAACTCCAAAGAGCAGGGTGATTTTGATATAAGAAAGATGGGAAATTTTACCCATGTGCACCTGGATATTCAAATCTCAGACCATCTGCTTAAATTCTGCTAGGGTTTTATCAGGACACAGCATAAGTAAGACTGATTATAGCAAACAATGTATACAGTATCTGATTTTGGTTAATTAGTTTTTGCAGTGTGAATTTAATCTATTATTAAGGTAAGATGCGCCACAGATTTGCTGTGCCTAAGGTTTTATGTGTTATGTTGCACAAATCTCAAAAGAGATGCAGCTCAACTCTAATCTTGTTAGACCATTACAAGTTTAATGAAGGAATGTGTACTATTGTTTTTAGAAATTTAGATTTTACAGACTATAAAATTCCTGTGGATACAAGAATTTAATTCTTGTGTATTCTTGTGGACACACGACTAGGTTTCCTAGAGCAACATACCTATAACTTTGGTCTTAAATAACTTAATACAGATGGGACAAAATTCTCAAATCTATTAGAATAGTCATGCTTCAGTTCCATCTTTAAAATTATGTCATTTTGTGGGATTTCAGAGACCAAGCTTCTCTGTGTTATCCTTGTGTGAAATAGATCCCCATGAAGTCTGCATGGCCCCGTTTCTGTTGTCATCTAAGTAAGACTTAAAAACAGTTGTTTTCAAATATATTGTTATAGGAATATTTTTTCTTGCTCTTCTTGATTTTTCCTTCCCCAGTACAGTAACATAGAACTCTATATTATTTTGGACAGTTTTTAATTTCAATAAGCAAATCAAATGACATTATTAATACTGTACTGTTATTATGGGGCTGCAATGGCTCAGCAGTTAAAGACACAGAGCTTGTCAACTGGAAAGCTGGTTTGAGAGCTGAGTGCCGTGCATTGGGGAACTCCCGTTCCTTGCCCCAGCTCCTCCCCACCTACTGTAGCAGTTCAAAAGCATGCAAACGTGAGTACATCAATAGGTACCACGTTGTGGAAAGGTAACAGTGTTCCATGTGGCTTTGGCATATAGCCATGCTGGCCACATGACCAGCGGACAATGCTGGCTCCCTCAGCCAAGAAATGGAGATGAGCACTGCACCCTAGAATCAGACACAACTGGACAGGGAAACATTTACCTTTACTTTTATTACACATACTTATAGAGTCTGACTTGATTTATGATTTATTCATAACATTGTTTTTATACCTGAAAATAGGTAAGTTTTACTGGCTATCTCTTGTCTTATGTAAGCTAGTGTACTAGTTCCATCATGCTGGGTATCAATTTGCATTAATTATCACTTTTAGAAATACAGTGAATGATCATGTTACTCTGTTTCATCTGCCACGTCAATCATGAACTATCTGAGCTTGATCTGGGTTTATATTCAAGAATTGGCATTGTCTTGTTTCCCTCAATATTGACAGATTCTATAAATGCAGTCCACTCATATAAGCAGCTATACACATGATACCCAGTTTATTTTCAAGGCTAATTGGGGGAGATGAACCTGCAATAACCTGCAATTCCTGCAATTCTCAAGCCATGAAACTTTATACTAAATTCTCACAATCAAAATCATTTAACCTAAAATGAGGATCACAGAATTTTAACTTGCCCTTGAAACTGGTCAAAATCCTCCATAAAAATATTATGCAAGATGGTTGCAGTGAGGCTTTGGACAATAGTGTGTGTTGGCTAAATGCCGGTAAAAGAAAATCAGAATCTACATTAAACATTCTAAAGATGCTGAACATGAAATCAAACACAGACAAGAAAAGTATTTCAAGACATCTCTCAAGTGGGCTTGCTGAAGATTCCTAGTTGGCAAAAGAAAGAAAGTTTATTTTATTTTACATTTTAGTTTTTATATGGCCACCCAATTTAGTTTAGTTTAGTTTAGTTTAGTTTAGTTTAGTTTAGTTTAGTTTAGTTTAGTTTAGTTTAGTTTAGTTATGCATTATGAATATATATATTGAGAAAGCTGGACTGGAAGAAGATGGTTTTTAAAATGGAGAAAGAAATATCAATTGGGCTATATTGATGATACTACTTTGTTAGTTGACATGCTATAGAGAAGAAAGTCAAGGAGCAGAGTGAAAAAAATATACAGGCCAAATTAATAACAACAGTTACAACAACCAGCCTTAAAACTGACAATGAAGATATTGCAGTGAAACTTATTTTCTGCCTTTTAGGATCAACTATGAAAAGTAATGGAACAAGCAGTCCAAAAGTTGAGGGTTCTCCATCACTGGAGGCTTTTAAGACGAGACTGGACAGCCACTTGTCTGGAATGGGCAGGGTCTCCTGCTTGAGCAGGGGGTTGGACTAGAAGACCTCCAAGGTTCCTTCCAACTCTATTATTCTGTTAAAAATTTGCCAGAGATTAGCAATTAACAATTATCAATGAAATCCTTGGAAACGTTAATCAGATACTGGGATATGTCTACATCTACAAAGATCAGAATCATGCAAGAGGTGGCATTCCTGTTACACTCTATGGAAGCAAAATTTGGACTTTGAAGAAGCAGAGTAATCTATATTTCAAGTAAACATAAGAAAGTGCACATCTGTAACTATGTACATATAGTTTGTTACTCTGAACATAATTAAAATAGAAATAAATGGATAAATAAGTTAATCTCATAGAATTTCAACAATTGCACAGCAGGCTATGAAGTGCACTCACTCCAAATTTGTTTTCAAGACAATTCAAGACAATTCTTGCAAATAATAATAACTAAGAACATCTTGCAAGTTCCACATAAGAGAGTGCCAATAATTGGAAAATTCTATAGTGTGGTATTATTAAACATATCTCTAAGGCAGTAGGATATTCAAGAGAGTTGCAGTAGGTCATCTTAAATGATAGTCAGGTTCATATGGAAGCAGATGCTCCACTCTTTCTCACTTCGTAATCATTTGGGGTGGGTTGATATGAGGAAACCATCAGTTGGAAGTATATTTAACCTTGTGGCCCTAGTTACTTCATACAAAAGTCACAGGATGTGGTCAAACATTTTCTGCAGCCTAATTATAAAAATATAAGCCATTGAGTAAATGGTCATTTGTATAAGAGAGGGATAAGCATCCTTCCATTCCCTAATTACCAATTATTCCCTACAATTATGTAAATTTGTTTTATTTATCTCAGCAAATTAATTTTCCTTAATATGCAGTTACTGAGAAAAATGCCCACATCACATTGAAAGAAGACTATTTATTTATTTAAAGATTTTAAATGGCCACCCAATAAGAGTACAATCACGACTTGATCATCTATCAACATCATAATGCTATTATCTAGAACAATAATTGTTTGCATTTTGGTTTAGTGTTGAATTGTTAATTTTGAGATTTTTGAAAGCCTCACATATACTAAAGAAAAATTAATTTTCTGTCAAATAAATGCACATATTTGCATTTTCAGTAGGATACAGATTAACAATAGTTTCTGAGTCATTATGTGGAAGTTTAATATAGATTCTGAATGTAAAACAGGCAATGTAACATGAACATGGCCATGGTTGTTAATGGCTTGTTTTAGCTGGAAGCTATAAAATCATCCAAGGACTCTGTTGGTGTTGGAATAATAATTTACCTATACAATTACCACATGGTGGATTTTTGCAGCTCTAATTCTGTGTTATTAATAATGAATAAAATTGCAATTTTCTCAGGTTGCTCGGGGCAATGGGGAATTAGTTCAATGAATATTTCAGTGCATTATTTTAATCATAACTCCACAGATTTCAAGTGGCCTGTGTTTTATACTTTTAAGTTTACTCTTCTAAAGGATTCTAGTAATTAAAGTGAAAAATATTTGCTCTTAAGTCCACTCTATGATTTACAATTCTTTTTAAAAACACTAAAAAAAGCAAGAGGTGTCATTAATACTTGTAATTTGATACTGCATTTGTTAATGGGCTTCCTCTGATTAATGGCTTTTTTTTTGGTGGACAAAATATTCTGAGACGAGGCAGAATCCATGAATATTTAAATGAAAGTAAAGAAGTTATTGAATATTCTTATTTTAAGAATTCATATATTTGTTGTAGTTTGTTTGTAATCACGAAACAAATATGTACTTTATAGAGCTTTTTCCTAAACAATGGTACAGACAGAATTTACCTGTAGATGGTGATTACTTTCTCTTATTTTTTTTAAATTCCTTAGCCAACTGCATGATTTTTGGCGCTTAGATTACTGGGAAGATGATCTTCGCCGGCGGAGACGGTTTGTTCGCAATGCTTTTGGCTCCACCCATTCTGATGCATTGCTAAAAGCTGCTGGAGAATACGGTCAGTATCACTGTAACATTCTTACTGTCCTAAATGTAGTCAGAATTGTTATTAGGCTCCATTGGAGTGAAATTTGTCCATTTTTATTATAGTGATTTCTATTTTTTTACATTTAGCATTTTAGTTATCTTGTATAGCTAAATACATTTCAACATAGTTAACAATAATTTTCAAGCTTGTCCAGTTTACATTTTATTTAAATACAAACAGGACTGGGGACATTAGAATAATGTATACACATAAATGAAAAACTATAAATACAGTAATAATCCAGTTAGTTTTAGAAAACATATGGTTCATTGAATCCAAAGAAAGAGGTAGGGTTGTTTTTTTTTGACAAGGTTAATATAAAAGGGCTTTCACATTTCTTACTTTTATAAGTCTCTTTTATTTTAGAGAATACAGAGAGAAGCCTATTTTTGGAAGCAAAAAATTGAGAATAAGATAACCTTTCTGAAATGTACTCTGCTCTTAAAAGTGTTTCATTGTATGATTATAGAGACTTATTGCACTGCTTCAAGCTGGCAGTGTATATGGAGTATTATATGTATATATAAATTCCATTGTCAGAGTGAGCTAATAAATTTACAAATAGCAAATCACCTCCTATTAGAGATCTAATAAGCCAAACTTAAATGAAAGAATTTACAATCTCATTGAATTAATTGGGAATGTAAACCATTCCAGAAATTTATTCCACAGTACTAGCCTCTGTAGTTTGGTTGAATTATGTAAGTTTAGTAATTTAGTAATTTTATATACACTCTTTTGATCTCCAATTAATCTGATTTAACTTTATAAAAAATGACTAAAAGTTGGAAACCATGGAGAAAAGAGAAAAAGCCCTGCAATAGAAAAAAAATATGAAAAAAGAATGAAGAAACTATTTTGTAACTATATGCCTAATAATAGAAATCCTTGTTTATGTGCCACATTTTAATTCTTATCTCTTAAGCTCTATCAACAATTTTTATTTTGCTTTTAATGAAAATGATTCCTACTGAGCTATGTCAGACTGAATTTCATGGAACTCATATTTGAGTAGCATATAAGATTGCACAATTATAATTCTTGGAAGCTGCTACATTCAATGCCTTTCTCAGCCCTCTGTAGTATGGTTCGTGTTGCTTTCAGATCCCTTTGTTTCAACTAACTCTTTTCTGAAAATATAATTGAAACAGTATAAGTGCTGCTTCAGACTTGTTTAGATTAGTAAAATACTTTAAATGTTTTATATAGCATATTCTTAGATTTTATGATGCTGCTTCTCTAGAATGCCATGTATTGGGTCAAATTGCTCTGGTGTTCTTCAATAAATACATCGACTCACAGCAGCTTTCCATACTTTCATTCAGGAATTTTTGATGATATTAGAATATGAACCTTATAGCATTTGACTTGCAGAGCTTTACTTCTCACCAATCTTTATATGTCTTCAACCAAGGAGTCTGAAAGCAAAATTGTGTTACAGGCCATCCTAAGACACAACCGCTATTTTATTTTATTTTATTTCATGTCATTGTTATTTCTCTAATTTACGTTGAAGAACAAGAGGGAATAGATGCCATGGGGAAAAAATAGGACATTTCTTTAAAAAGTAATTTCTGATTAGTTTGAAGTACAGTATTGGTATAGACAAGATATGTACATCCTGCTGTTCTTTGCCTCTCTTCCCTTGACCCTTGTAGCAATGACTTTAATAGGGATTGCTACATGGGAGAGATTTTAACTTCCCTCCTCCGGTGAACTACACTCTGTGTCTTCTCTGGTGTGTGTGTACATACATACGTATATGCCTCCTTGTATGAATAGCCAAGTCTGACCCATCATGCCATGACAATTAAAAAAGGCTCCCTTAATACAAATTGATGTCATATGCTGTGCCTATGTTACCACAATCAGTCTTGCTTATTTGTAGTCTGAAACTAACAGAGGGCAAGAGCAGCAAGCCACATTTATGAAATGAGAGAACTGTTTGTTATTGTGCTTAAAAGGAGTTTTTTTTTTAAAGATTGTGATCTAGCTTAATCATAAGAATGTCATACAGATTAGCCATTGATATTTCTCCTCGTACATTTATTTCCCATGATACCATGTACCTGGAGAAATATAGATAGTGTCATTACTGTTTATATTACAGGTCACAGTGGAAAGATGTTATCTTTTGCAATTTTAAAGTCCTTTTTTTTTCCCTAAAGCTTTCAGTATCAAAATTAAGAACAGTCTTCCAGAAGAATTTAAAACAGCTTTCACTGAGATTAAGTCCAGAGAAGTTTTACCTTGATGGGAGGGAGGGGGTGTTTTTGGAGGCTTGTACTTATGGATTTTAATATTAAAACTTTTACTTGACCCAACTGTATAAGAAAACATCCTTAACACTGATGTTATTTTTATACCTCCTGGTGATACTAATGAGTTGAATAATTTATGAGGTTGTCATGTAAAAAGGATTTGGTGCAGTTTGATGTATTTTCAACCTCTGGTGCTGGAATGTGATTAATAAAGAGCTAGAGGCACAGCATCCCCCCCCCCCATGGGGGCTTAACTTTCATTAGGGATTTTTCATCAGTTTTATTTTGATCATTTTATATCTCTTTTTTAATACCAGAATCACAGATAAGTACTATAGAGAAAACCATTGATTTTTTGTTACGTAAAAAGTTGCAAGTTACATAAGGTAATTCACTGTCCACAAATATCTTCATAGTAGAAACAAACAAACAAAATAATTATATTATAGTTTTTTTTAAAAAAAAAAATTTAAATGGTAGCATAAATACTGCTTTACATTTCTATGTAGAATAGACTGACAGTTATCACTGTGTGGAGGGAATTGTGATTAAATATCACAGCCAAGAAATGTTTAGTCAGAGCCTAAGTCAGCAAGCTCATCTGGGTCTGTGATCAAAGGCGTCAGCTTAAATAGGTCTGATCAGGCATTGCAGACAAGGGCAGGCAGCCTCAGCTGAGCAAAAAAATCACAGAGCAAAGATGACAAAATTAATCAGTCAATTCTTTGGCAATAAATAACAAGATATGCTGAGGTCTGCAGATGAGAGAATTTCTAGGTTCTGCGGAGATGCATCTACTTAATGCCTGATTTATCTAAGCTTGCATAGCCATCAAGACATGACCTTGATGAATAAAAGAGCACTCTCTAACTAATCTAGACTTAAATCACTATTGATAGTGAACACATGGTATATAATAGTATTATGATGCTAACTGATCAAGGAACACAGGAGTTTTTTGGAAATAACCTCTCTATGGATTTTGTACTTGCTCAAGGGAGGAGTGGCAGATATTACCTAAAGAGGTAAAACATTAAAATTTAGTGAAAATGTTTCAGATAATATGAGAACCTGAGAACTAAACAGCATTAAGTTATTCATTTTCATTCATTCAATTAAAATTTCAATTGTTTGTATAACATTTTGTACAGAATTTTTTTAAAAATAGCATTCCACATTAAATTCTTTTTACTGTACTGTATTTCATATTACCTTTCTATAGTAGTTTTGTTAATTAAACGGTTTTGTTATTGCCACAGGCAGTTTACAAAATCATCCTGATCCATGTAGAGAACTGTTTATATAACTGACTATGTGATTGCTTGACGAAACTTAACATGAATCTCAAATCTCAAAGCTTGCAAATCCACACTCACAAATTTCTTTAAAACTCGAACCTTTGGAAAGAAAATTTGTAGGATTGCCTTTTCTATACAAATATATGCTTTTAGAAGTGCTTTATGCATTGGGATAGAGGAATTAGATGGAATGGCTGAATTGAGGTGTAGCTTAGAAACTTGGTTATTCAATACACCAACCCTGATTCTGACTCTGGATGTTGATCTTCACATCTCTTTGTAAACTAATGAAGTAAATCATTTTAATTAACTAGGATTGGAGTAAAAAAAATGCTCCAAAGATGAAAGTGGAAGGCAGTCCCTCACTGGTCCTTACCACTTTTATCCATGGAGGATGTTGTTCTAGATTCTCCTTTTTACCACGCGTTGTCTTCCAGGTTTCGTCAGTCTCTTCTATTTTTCAATCTAATAAGGATGATCTTAGAGGAAGCAATGAAAATGAGAAAAGCATGTAAACCTACTTCACTTAAAAAGCTTTCTAGTTTTTGTTTTTGTTTGCAGGTTTGTTTGGGTTTGAGTCTTGTATTGTATTGGTACCACTAAGTACCAAATTGAAAAGTGATAATTGGGGGGAAATGATGTGGTAGGGTGTAAAAATAACTTCCTCCCTTAGATTTGAATTAATCTGAGTTAACATTTACAGTTAACATTTTCCTTAAAATAAATTTTATCATTATTTTCCAAACAATTTTGTTTGTTGTATTATGTTGTGATTGCATAATTTGCAAATTTATTATAATTGGCTATTACATAGTCAATAATATATTTTGGGTTATTTCAGAAATAATTCTCTCAGTATAAACATTTAATAAGTTTTTTGCCTTTCAAAATAAACCAGATTTCTGTTAAAGTTACATTTCAAACTTGTATTTAGAAGAAGGAAGAAAATGCTGTAAAAATTAAATAGTGAAAATACTGCATGGCTTTGAAAGCCAGTACACTCTATTAGCAAAACTGTCAATATAAAAAGTGCATTCCATTTCCACCTCCTCCTCTAATAACCTTTTCTATGTTACTCACAGACAGTTCACATAATCAGAGTATATTGTCAGCTTACTGGAGTTGGGGAAGCATGAAATGAAAATCACTTTAATATTGATCCAATTCTTTCTTGCAAGTGTCCTTGATGTCCTTTTCTACTGAACAGTAGCTATTTGTTTTATTTAGGGAAATAACTTGGTTATGACTGCTCTTTGCAAAATGTATTTCAAGGCAATTATTATTAAAATAGTTTTTTGCAGTTTATTATTTTCCCATATAATTTTTTTACAATATAGTGGCGCGAAATCACAAGTAGTCACCATCTTATTTACCAGTCTATGTTATAAGACAGCACTCTCGTAGCTTAAGA